GAGTTGGTAGGATTAGTACCATGTCAACCCTGAGACTTAATGACTCCAAATCTGGGTGTGGGCCAGGTGGTTCTGATGTTGAGTCCACACCTGGAAAGCCATCTTCTTGAATACTATCAGTACCTACTGCTGATGCTGATAAATGTTGTAAACCAAACCTGTCCCATCATGTGAATTCCCCTGGGCAGTGTTAACAAATTCCAAACCCTGCCCCGGGGGTGGGGGTGGGGGTGGGGTCTGTTACTTTTAAACATTTCTTCAGATGAGTCTTCCATGATCCTGTAAGTTTAGGATACTAGGTCACTGGTTCCCAAACCTTGCTTAACATCAGAATCTTTTGTAGAGTTGGTTATACTCAATAGCAATTGAATCAGAAGGTCTGGAGATGGGAACCAGCAATCAGAAGTTTTTAAAGATTCCCAAATGGTTCCACTGTGCAGTTTCTGGACCACTGGGCTAGGCCTTTTAGGAAAAGGAAACAAGCCTCCGAAACATCTGTCTGCTCAACAACTGTAGACACCATAACATCCCAGGTGGTGTTTAAAGTGGTTCCAGTTGGCAAGGTAATTCCCACCTCCTCTCTCAGCTTGTACTCAAATGTAACTGGTGCTTTCCAGTACAATGATGCACTTAGTGAGGCCCGAGGGTGGCAGGGCATGTACAGCATACGGCCGCAGCATGGGTAATACCTCGACTAAGACAGGCACCATAAAAACGTCCAACAATCCCACAAAACAAAGGAAGTGAGCTTTAAATACTTTTGGAAGAGTGACGTCTCTACTATCTCGGGTTACCACATAGTGCTCAAAGAAAAGGACCAGAAGCCACAGACCCAGAAGGAACCAAGTGCAAATCCCAAGCCTTTGGTTTTGTCAGCAGATCAACAAAATGCGAAGTGAGGGGCGAAGATTGAGACATTCAGGGAAAAGCCCCCTCAGCCAAGGGCCGTCACGGAGCAACTCCCGAGGTTACACAGGAAAAGCAGGGCTAAAGGTCCAGCCAAGCTTTGCCTTTAAAACAGCATCGAAGCAGCCCCCTGCGCACAGGGCCCCGCACGCAGAAGCGGGTCCACCAGCGGTGGGAGCCTGGGGAGGATGTGGCTCCGGCCTCGGGTCGCCACCAGGCGGGCGCCCTCCACCTGGGCGCCTGCGGGGCTCACCCAGTGACCAAGCCAGGACGAGCAGGTGCACGCACCGCGGGACCCGAGGGCTGCCTGGGCCACCGGCCGCGCCCGCACCGCTGCCCCTCTGAGGGCCCCCGGCGCCGGCCGCGCTCACCCGATGACGTAGGCCAGGATGAGCAGCTGCACCGCGCGGTTCATGAGCCCCACTTTACGGCTGCGGATGAGCACGATGCGCGGCGTGTCGTACTCGAACAGGAAGGGCCGCAGCACCTCGCAGCAGCCCGCCATGGCGCCGCCGGCCTCTGCGCTGTGGGTCCCGCTGCCCGAGCCGCCGCCTAGTCCCAGCGCGGAGCCCCGCCCAGGCGGCTGGTCGGCGCAGGGGAGGGCCCGGAAGGGGGCGGCACGCTCCCTGGAACGCAGGGAAGGAGTGACCTCCTCCTTGAGAATGAATGATCCCCTCAGGAGGGCCGGGACGAACAAGAGGCCTTCTGAGGAAGATGGGGCCGGCGAGGAGAGGTGACCTCCTCGAGAGGGGGCTGAGTTCAGGTTGGGGGTAACGAGTGACCCCCCCCCCCCTTAGGGGACCTAAGAGGACAAGGGACCTCCTCAGAGGACTTGGGCTGTGGAGTACAGCCACCCCTCAGGAGTGCAGGCTCTAATGGAGGGAGCTGGGGCGGCGCTGCTTTCTCAATTTCGGGTGAAAAGCCTCATATATCAGGTGTCCTAGGAACACCTGGGCTATAGCCGCACACCCTGTAAAATGTACCTCCTGGAATTGAAGCCTGGCCACATTCCTACTCTAATTCAAATGCTTCCTTAGTTGCAGCCCAGGAAAGGAACACCCACAGTTCCACCTCTTGGAACACAATTTTCTTCTACATGTATATTTGTTCATTCCCTTCAGATTTTTTTTTTTTTTTTTGTTGAGACAGAGTCTCGCTTTGTTGCCCAGGCTAGAGTGAGTGCTGTGGCGTCAGCCTCCCTCACAGCAACCTCAGATTCCTGAGCTCAAGCGATCCTACTGCCTCAGCCTCCCGAATAGCTGGGACTACAGGCATGCGCCACCATGCCCGGCTGATTTTTTCTATATATATTAGTTGGCCAATTAATTTCTTTCTATTTATAGTAGAGATGGGTCTCTCTTTTGTTCAGGCTGGTCTCGAACTCCTGACCTCGAGCAATCTGCCCGCCTCGGCCTCCCAGAGTGCTAGGATTACAGTAAGGTGGGTCTTGTGAGCAGTGGGTCTTGTGAGCGAAATAAATCAGCTCTCTCCCTCACTCTTCACCTAGCTAACAGGTACCCTGCTGAGCTCTGTTTTTCACAACATCTCAAACCCAGCAGACAAAAGGAAATGTCAGGTTTTTTACAGTTGCTAGACCTATTGACTAAAACTGCTTTTTAGCATCTGTTTCTATAGCCTGGAGTAGTTCCTGAGAAGCTCCTGGATGACAGCAAGGGGGACAAAGTCAAGACATCAAACCCAGCCCAAAATCATATCTTGAGGGCAAGGTTGCAAACAAGATCTCTAACAGCCATCTTTTCATCTGCGAAGAAAAAAATGCATCAGTCTCACACAGCCATTCTGTTATCTGCTTGTAGGTAAGAAGAAGAGAAGGAGTGGATACAGCAATTCCCAATGCCCTTCTAATTTGACTAGAACCATAAGTCATCTTTCACCCTCTTTTTTACATCTCCAAATAAAAGTGCTGAGTAGTGGGTTTTCTAGGCCAACACACTTTTCCATTTTCTTTCTTGTGTTCAGCCCCTTCCCACTCTTAGGAAAGTAAAATAAACTTCATCCTTCTATCGTAATCTTTTTTTTTTTTTTTTGAGACAGGCTCTTGCAACCTCAAACTTCTGGGCTCAAGTGATCCTCCTGCCTCAGCCTCCCGAGTAGCTGGGACTACAAGTGCACACCACCATGCCTGGCTAATTTTTCTATTTTTAGTAGAGACGAGTCTTGCTCTTGCTCAGGCTGGTCTCGAGCTGCTGACCTCAAGCAGTCCTCTCCCTCAGCCTCCCAGAGTGCTATGATTGCAGGCTCTTTGGAGAAATTTTTCTCAAATCCGTGTGCACCAGCACTACACTAGCTCACCACCCTAACAGTTTCACTGTTCCATTCAAACATATGAATAAGCATGGTCCATATGCCAGGTATTGTCCACTGAACAGAATAAGCAAAACAGTCCGTCTTCATGTGGTTTAAATTCTAGCAGGTAATTGGCATAACATTTTAGTTTGTAATTATAGTCAATGGTGGTGCTTTTTATTTTCTGATCTTCACTACTTGTTTTCCATGTTACTGCAGACTCTTCATAATGATAATTTTTAGTCCATGGACTGTTTCTTCTGGAGAATATACCATGATTTCCCTAACTGCTCTCATCTGATTGCTTCTTAGTTTGTGTATCCTATGCATAATCTTTGATACATTTTTAGTTCATTTCCTGGATGTGAGATCCCTAAGTTACACCAACTCATTTTTCCAAATATAAAAAGGTGAATAATAAAATATGCAGAAAACAGGCATCTGCTTCTAGAAATGGAATTGTTAATTTAGAGGGAGGAACAGAGTTGCTACCATCTCTAGTCCAAAATGGTCCTGGGAAAGGGTGGTGGGGTTTAATTTATTCATTTGACAAAAATTTACTCACCTGCTCTGTGGTTGATGGGGGCCTCTGTCTTCCTGGCCAGGTGTGCAGGTGCTGTCTTGGAGCCACTGCCCTTAAGAAGAAGCTGCCCTGGTGTTTGGTCCCTCCCTAGACTCCTGGGCAGCTGCCCCTTGAGGGGTTTTGGCTGCCATCTTTCTGGTTGAGGAAATGGCCCCATTCTTGACCTTTTGGCTGTGGGTTTTAAACTTTTACTCTAAGCTTTGGTTGGTTTTCCTGTGGGCCCTGGCATCTCCTTGGCCATTCCTACTGCCTTTGACATTTGACTTTCTGCTGAGCCCGCTGATACTGGAATGGGCCTGTGTGGTCTTGTCTGGCTTTGAGGGAGCCTTCCTAGCCTCACCCACTTTTGCCCCGATGTCCTTGGCCTGATGCCTTTCTCAGGGGACTTCTGCTTGGCTGTACATGGTTTGGGAGGTGCCATCCTCACCTCACCAGGCTTCTTGGCTGGCTTTTCCACCTTGCCAAGCTGAAAGGGTTCCTTCCTCTTTGCCTCACTTGGTTTCTTGGGACCCTTCTCCTTGGCCTCCCCAGTTCTCCTGGGGGCCAACGAGGCATCCGTCCTCCTGGGCTGGATTTTCCTCTTGTGCTTGGGAACTAATTTGAAGCTGCCAGTGGCCCCCTTGGCCTTGGAGTTGAGAGATCTGGTGAGGAGGCCATGACACATGTCTATGGCCAGGACCTCCTTCAGCAAGTACTTGAAGTGGATGATGTCCACTGTCAGGTACTTGTGCAGATATGGAGGTGAACAGACAAAGTCTTTGTCAAAATGGAGCTTGGTGCAGTTGGGAGGACTTAAATTATGTATAGAAAATGAAAACTCAGTTGCTAAATCTTCTTGGAAGGGGACTTAAAAATGCTTTTCCTTAAAAATCAAAACATATTTCCAGTCCTCATTAATACTTATCCCATAGTAACAAGTTAGTCCCAACCTTACAAATCCCTAATTTAAGTGATTTACCTGAGTTTTGGAATGAGGTCCATTAAGAAAAATGTAGAAATACACATTTTTATAAATTGCTAGTTAGAATTGTTAGGCCCAACCAGAGAAGCTGATTCTGCAAAATGATTAGGAAAAGGAAGTTATTTCATTTATATTCTTGCCCTTGTTGCTTTATCTTAAAAAAAAAAAAGCTTTATTGAGCCATAATTGACATAGACTAAGCTGTACGTATTTGAAGTACACAATTTGTTAAATTTGGCATATGTATACATCCACAAAACCATCACCATGATCAAGATAGTAAACATATCCGTTGTAAGATCAGGATAATCTTAGTATATATAAAGTAAAAGTAACTACTGATTTGTTTGACTTTTCAAATACACACCTATTTTATTTATTTATTTATTTTTTTGAGACAGAGTCTCACTCTGTTGCCCAGGCTAGAGTGCTGTAGCCTCAGCCTAGCTCACAGCAACCTCAAACTTCTGGGCTCAAGCGATCCATCTGCCTCAGCCTCCTGAGTAGCTGGGACTACAAACACGCGCCACCATGCCTGGCTAATATTTTTTTTCTATGTATTTTTAGTTGGCCAATTAATTTCTTTCTATTTTTAGTAGAGACGGGGGTCTCAATTTGCTCAGGCTGGTTTCGAACTCCTGACCTTGAGTGATCCACCTGCCTCAGCCTCCCAAAGTGCTAGGATTACAGGCGTGAGTCACCATGCCTGGCCTTCAAATACGTCTTAATCATATTCAGTTGCTTTTTTGTTGTGTGCCTGCCTGAGTGTGGTCAGTTATTGAGCAATCTTGGGAATGTAGTTTTAAAAGAAATAGGATTCAGTGAGGAAAGAATAATATTCAACAAATGGTGTTGGGGCCAGGGCATCGTGGCTCATGCCTGTAATCCTAGCACTCTGGGAGGCCGAGGCGGGTGGATCACTTGAGCTCAGGAGTTCGAAACCAGCCTGAGCAAGACCAGCCTGAGCAAGACCGAGACCCCATCTCTGCCAAAAATAGAAAAAATTAGCTGGACATAGTGGCACATGCCTGTAGTTCTAGCTACTCAGGAGGCTGAGGCAGAAGGATTGCTTTGAGCCCAGGAGTTTGAGGTTGATGTGGGCTAGGCTGATACCATAGCACTCTAGCCTGGGCAAAGAGTGAGACTCTATCTCAAAAAAGAAAAAGAAAAAAAAAAACAATGGTGTTGGAACAACTGGATATCCCTGTGCAAAAGAGTAAAGTTGAACTCCCACTTCCTGCCATGTATAGAAACTCAAAATGGATCAAAGACCAACATATAAGAGCTAAAACTGTAAATCTCTGTGATGGAAACATAGGTCCAAATCCTTGTGACCTTGGGTTAGGCAATGGTTTTTAGTTATGACAACCTAAAGCACAGGCAGTAAAAGAAAATATAGATATATTGAACTACCTCATCAAAATTTAAAACTTTTGTGCTTCAAAAGAATCACGAAGGCAATGAAAAGAACCCATAGAATGGGAAAAATATTCAAAAATTATTTATCTGATAAGGGTCTAGTATCTTGACTATCTTAACAAATCTTAAAATTCATCAATAAAATGACAACCCGGCCGGGTGCAGTGGCTCACACCTATAATCCTGGCACTCTGGGAGGCCGAGGCGGGCAGATCACTCAAGGTCAGGAGTTCGAAACCAGCTTGAGGAAGAGCGAGACCCCCCCCCCGGTCTCTACTAAAAATAGAAAGAAATGAATTGGCCAACTAAAAATATAGAAAAACATAGCCGGGCATGGTGGTGCATGCCTGTAGTCCCAGCTACTCGGGAGGCTGAAGCAGAAAGATTGCTTGAGCCCAGTAGTTTGAGGTTGCTGTGAGCTAGGCTGACACCACCGCACTCTAGTCCGGCCAACAGAGTGAGACTCTGTCTCAAAAATAAATAAATAAATAAATAAAATGACAACCCAATTTAAAAATGGGCAAAAATATTTGAATAAACACTTCTCCAAGAAGATACACACGTGATCACTAAGCAAATGAAAAGATGCTCAATATCATTAGTTGTTAGGGAAATGCAAATCAGAATCACAATGAGATACCATTTCATCCCCGATAGCTTGGCTATAATAAAAAAGATGGACAGTCAAAAAGATGTTAAGGATGTGGAGAAACTGAAACCCTAACACAGTACTGGTGAGAATGTAAAACGGCGCAGCCACTTTGGAAAACAGTTTGGCAGTTCCTCAAAATGTTAAACATAGAGTTACCGTATGACCCAGCAATTCCACTCTTAGGTATAAACCAAGAGAATTAACATGCAAAAGCTTATACATGAATGTTCATAGCAGCATTTGTAATAGCCAAGAAGTGAAAATAATCAAAATGTCCGTCAGCTAATGAATAAATAAAATGTGATCTATCCATATGATGGAATTTTATTCAGCCATAAAAGGAAACATAATACTGATACATGTGACACCATGGATGAACCTTGAAAATGCTATGCTGAAAGAAGCTAGACACAGGTCACATATTGTATGACTCCATTTATAGGAAATGTCCAGAATAGGTAAATCCATAAAACCGAAAGTAGATTAGTGGTTGCCAGGGGCTGGAAAAAAGGAGGTATGGAAAGTGACTGCTAATGAGTATGAGATTTCCATCTGGGATGATGAAAATGTTCTGGAAATGAAATAATGGTGACAGTTGCAGAACCTGTGAATATAATAAAAGCCATTGAATTGTACATTTTAAAAGGGCAAATTTTATGGTGTTTGAATTATGTTTCAATAGTAAAAAACAGGGAGAAAACAACAGAGGCCTCAGCAAGATCAAAGTATATGCCACGAAACAATGGGGCCAAACATCATGTTCTTTCTTCATAAAGGAGTATCTCAGGCCCTCAGCAGAGCTTATGTATTTTTTTATTTTGTTTTTTAATTAAAAATTTTTTTTTAATTTCAGCATATTATGGGGGTACAAATGTTAAGGTTATGTATATTGCCCATGCCCCCCTCCCCCCTCGATATATTTTTATTTTATTTTATTTTTTTTTTATTTTTTTTTTAAGAAGTCTGATTAATATCATATATATTTTTATTTTAGATACAGTTTGAACAGTTTTGATTATCTGGTTTCTTTGTTGCTTATTAAGCCAGTTCATCATTACCTTCTTCCTTGAGTCTTTCTTCCTAGAGGTGGTGCAGCAGCCATTTTTATACTATGTGAGTATATCCTCTTGGCCATAGTTGACTGGACCACAGGTGGGAACTGGACCACAGGTGGGAACCTGACCTGAACCTGGCCAGACTGGTTCTCCCCTTTGGCTTTGGCATTGGGACAGAGGCAGCTCTTTGTTCTCTGCAGGTAACTGGAACTGAATTGACGTAACCATTGCATTCATGGAGAACTGAAGGAGGGTAGGCTACAGAAGGAAACAGCCAGAGGAAGAGATGCAGAGGTGAGAGAGACTAAGAGAATGGCCGCTTTGGTTTCTGCTGAGCTTCCTGGTTCTGCCACCCCCCCCCTTACTCTTGAGATACCCCTGTAACCTTATGATAAAGGTTCATTTCTTTCAGAAGGCAGATAGCCTTCTGAAACTTGGAATTGAAAAGACCATGGCTATGGACTGAGGACCCAACAGATGAAAAATGTCTAGTAATGTAGGTGTTAAACATTTGTATGAATGCAGCAGATTAGAAAGAGGCAGGAGGCACTGCCTGAGGCCACTAATACTAAGAGCAGCAATAACTAGCCCATAAAAAGAAATAAGTTTCTATAAAAAGCAGAGCTAAAAACTCCAAAAAGCTCATCAGTCTGGGACCATTTAGTTGAGAGGCCCACAGTGAGAGACCACGGTATGCCTGAGGGCATCATTTGGTCATAGCATGATAAAACTGACATTTGCCACAATGTCCTAGAGCCACAAAAAGCCAGTCAAATGAGGCAGCATCGTTTGTTCAGGAGTATCTTCAATGAAAAATGTTTAAATTCAATGTTTAGGCTTAAAGATGTAAGATTAACTTATCTGGCACATAGACATTGTGAAATACGTCATTGTAGAACATAATGACAGATACATGTGGCACAAATGTATAATTATGTATACTTCCAGAAACAGAACATCTAAATCAAGAGCAAGTTGATAGCAAAAGTGAAGAATAAATTATAATTTTGCTGTTGCTTTCTCTGTGCAGTCCTTGAGACTGAATCTGTTGTTGAATTACATCTTTATTTTTTTAGAAAAAAAAAGGAAAAACCTGACTCTTATCTAATAGGCCATGTGCTGATCACAGATAATCTTCTTTGTGCTACCTGCTAGATAGTGGATCTCAACCCTATCAGACCCAATATCCCTTTGAAAATAAATATTTTCCAATATCCCTTTAGTTGCCCTGGAATAAATTAATACGGAATGTAATCTATCTATACTCAATTAAATATAAATATATATGTATAGATATGCATTGTATATATATGTTTGGTTTACACTTTCATAATGGTTAATGATGTTGAACTTGTTTTTGTGTGCTTATTGGCTATTTGTATATCTTTGGAGAAATGTCCTTAGCTCATTTTTTAATTGGGCTATTTGTCTTTTTAAATTATAAGAGTTCTTTATGTATTCTAGATATGTCCTTTATTAGATATATGATCGACAAATGTTTCCTCTCATTTGGTGTGGGTTACAGATTATTGAAATGGAGAAAATGGGGAAGTATAATATGATGTTCTTGAAGGTGAGCTGGACCTATTTTAATAACTGTGTCTTGAGAGCGCAGTGCATTTGACATTCAGTCTCTAGGAGATAAAAAGACCTCAGAGATCATATCCTTAGATACATGGTGTAGAATAGAGGGTGGATGGGGGAAGAGCTATGAATACAAGAGACAATGTGGGGGGAAGGTTGTGAAGTAGACCTGTGTGGACTGTGTGTGATATTACTGAGAACAAGAGGCAGCCCCCAAACTAATCAATCCCATATGTGATTTTCACAACAGATTTCTTATCACCATGCTACAAGGAAAAAATTTTAATATATAAGATAACAATAATATGACATCTATATATTTTATATTTGATTTAGTTTGCTGAGCATGTATATATAATATTTATAATTCCAAAGGCAAAACTATTGAAAAGCTATTTTTAATTTAAAACTATTTTTATTTTATTTAAAACAATTTAAAATATATATTCAGGGAGTCTCCTTGCTATCCCTACCTCTTCTCCATTCTGTTCCCTCCCTCTACCCAATGATTATCATTTTTATTAGTTTTGTTTTGGTCCTTCCAGAGTTTGTTTTTGCAAATATAGCAAGTGTGTATATGTGTGTATGCATTATCCCTGTTCTTATAGAAAATGTAGCATACTGGGTATACTATGTTATTCTATTTTGCTTTTTAAACTTAATAATGATATAACATTTAAAAAATAATCTTATAATGAAATTTAGGGACATCTCTACATTTCACTTGTCTCTCATCCTTTGAAAGTATTTGGGACTAAGTTAGTTAAAAAGAGTTCCAAATCTCTGTTACATATTTGCAATTAATAGCTATAGGTACAACTCATGTAAGTTTTTTTTTTTTTGGGGGGGGCAACTCAAATATCATAAGTCACATTGCTGCTGGTAATGTGATTTTCTGAAATGAGGGAACAGTTCTTTATTAAGTGTTTTCCATTGATTTTATTCAATTTTAATTGAATTATTCTTTACCAAAACAGCTGAGGTAGGAGGATCACTTGAGTTCAGGAGTTAAAGACTAGCCTGGGCAATGTAATGAGACACCATCTCTACAAAAATAAGAGAAGTTTTAGCTGGGTATGGTGGTGCACACCTGTAGTCCTAGCTACTCAAGATGCTAAGGCAGGGCAATTGCTTGAGCCCAAGAATTTGAGGTTGTGGGGGAGTGCCGCTCCACTCTAGCCTTACTCTAGATGACAGAGTAAGGTCCTGTCTCAAAAAAAAAAAAAAAAAAATTCAGATGATTCTAATGTAGGACCTGAGAACCATGTCTCAAAACACTCTGCCCTAGGCTATAAGCTCCATAAGTACAGGAATGTTGTCTGGTTTGTTCTTTAGCAATCCCCAGAGACCAGCATAGGGTGTTTCTCATAGTATATAGTACATAACAGGTGTTCAATAGCTATTTTTGAATGAATAAATGTGCAGGCTTAATGATAGTTATTCTGCTTTATAAGTACTCCTTTTACAGCTAAGAGACTATTGAGGCTTAAAGAGATTCATTAATTTGCTCAAGGTCATTGGTTTGTTAAGTAATGGAGTCAAGATTCAAACCCAGGCCTCTGGAGCTACAGAGTTTGTGATATAGGTTACTGTTGAAAAGACAAGTGTGCATTTCCATCTTATTTCTATTTTATGGAAGTAGACCTTCAGGCATATTTTGAAAAGGAGGAGAAGTTTTAACTAGAAGAGAAGTTGAGGAAATTCAGACGTGTAGAATTTATTGTGCATGTGCCATATGCCATGAGAGCTGTTACCAGGCAGAGGAAGATAAGTAAGACAACAGTCCTTGTCCTGAAGAAGTTTATAATGCCGTATGGCAGGTATACTTGTAAATAAAAGTATAATAAGATAAATGCTATAATATGTATTCAACAAACTGTGAAGATAATACTATGCTGTGGGAAGATGTTTGAGATAATTAAATGGAAAAAGATTACAGAGCAATATGTACACTGGGTGCACAACTTTGTGTTTATGGAAAAAAGTATGGAAAATTACAAATTGAAATCTTTTTTTTTTTTTTTTTTTTGAGACAGAGTCTCACTTTGTTGCCTAGGCTAGAGTGAGTGCTGTGGCATCAGCCTAGCTCACAGCAACCTCAAACTCCTGGGCTCAAGCAATCCTGCTGCCTCAGCCTCCCGAGTAGCTGGGACTACAGGCATGCGTCACCATGCCCAGCTCATTTTTTCTATATATATTAGTTGGCCAATTAATTTCTTTCTATTTATAGTAGAGACGGAGTCTCGCTCTTGCTCAGGCTGGTTTTGAACTCCTGACCTGGAGCAATCTGCCCGCCTCAGCCTCCCAGAGTGCTAGGATTACATGAGTGAGCCACCACACCTGGCCATAAATTGAAATATTAACAATGGTTATTCTGGGAGGGGTGAAAGTATAGATGATTTTTATTCTTTTCATGATTATTTACATTTTCTGAAATTTCTACAATGAACTTGATTATTTTTGTTAAGAGAAAAACAATTTTAAAGCTACTCCTAAAAATGTTTATTAAGTATATTTAATTATGTGGAGAAAATGCTTATGATATAATGTTTTTTTTTTCTTTTTCTGAAATAATGCAATGATATAATGTTAAGGGAGGAAAAAAAGCAAGACCCAAAACGAGCTAAGCAGTAGAATCTAAATTATACCCATCAGGAGAGAAGAGACATCTTGCTCTATCCAGGGGAATAGTTATTTCCAGTAATCTGTTTGCTTCCCTATTATTTCCCTTAAAATACTAGACTAAAAATCTAGAGATCTGCTAATAAATTTTTATATAGTTATTTGTGAAACAAAACTAAATTGAGCCATCTTATTCCTTAATCAATACATCCCTGAATTCCCAAGTTTACAAGTTGTATAGGGAAACCTTGGCGAGAAACAGATTCTTCAAATCCTGAGAGAAGAAATTTTAAAAAGGACCTCTGCTCTAAGAGGATTGTCAACAAAGATATTTCAGGAGTAAATACCAGGGGTGCTACGCATTGGCGTTTATGTGAGATTATCTACTAGCTGTGTATTTATATGTAAACTAGGGATCAGTGTCATTGTGTCAAGTATAGTATTGTCTTTATGATGATAATAACAACAGCTAAGACCCTGCCTAATGCTTTATAGGCTTCATTTAATCCAATTTCATATGAACCATGAAGTAGATTCTGAGAAGCAAAACTGAGACTTAGTGAGGCCATATAGGTAAGTGGTTGAATTGGGATTTGAATCCATGTCTGTCTGATTCCAGGATCTTTGCTTTTAACTATTTCCTTGTGTAGCCTTAAAATGCTATGAAACCAGTTTGTCTACTCTAAAACATTGTGCAGTATTGTGCAGGGCAATTTTTATGATCAGACCTGGTTTCATTGCTTGGTGTGTACCAAGGTAAGGGATAAGAGGATTGTCACCTTGAGACGCCTTGAGAAATTCTGCTTGTGGAGATGGCAGTTCATGGAAGACCCATACATTTCATTATATTCTCTGATGACAGAGACAGGAACACTTTAACGTACAGTGTAATCAATTCACATTTGTTTAGAAAATATTAGATGCCCAAATATTTAAAAGGATTACCCAATAGATGCAGCAAAATACGACCTAAAGATACAGTCCCATTAGTGTCAAATCCTCTGACTTTCTAAGATCACCGGTGTCTTAATTACTATAGTAGGCAGAATAATGACCCCCAAGGATATCTATGTCCTCATTCCTGGAAC